ACTGAAGACTGCTGAAAATTCAGCTTTGCCATCACAGGAATAAATACCATGTATAAATAACAACAAAATAGATTGAAATAGAACATGTTAAATTGTAATAAATTTCACGGTATTACTGTTTTTGCTGTATTCTTGGCTCAAATAAATGTACCCTTGGTGAGTATAAAAAAACACCAAACAAAAACATGAAAAAATCTTACCTACCCCAAACTTTTGAACTATTATGATCTCAGACGGTACTTGCCCAAGTATGAAATGAAAGATGAGGCTGCAAATTTGTGTCTGTCTAAAGTAGGCCTTGGATTTTCCATAAACAGAGCTCTCAGGTAAATGGCGGGGAAAACAAGTGAAGAGAAAATTCAGGGAATTAAGAAGTGATGCACTCTTAAAGAGACTTCATCCAAACCAGGAGAATGCATACTTCGATTTAATAGTTTTAGAAAGTCCCTGAAAGAGAAAAAAGTTTATGAGCCTACACTTCTTTGACAGGGCTGCTACACAAAAGAAAGAGAGATACTAATAAAATAATTAAAACTAAGACAAAACCCCTGTTGAATGCTTGCAAGACTACTACTGTTAAATTGGGATTAAATTAAATGTTTTTTTCTTGTAGATATAGCGTCTTTTAATAAGAATTGTATAAGATGTTTATGTGCTTTTATATGCATTGAAAGTCTTTGTTAGTATTTATTCTCATACTTAGATGCCACAGCCATTGCATACTTTGTATGTGCTGTACTTTATCTGTTCCATTTTATTCTATATTTTTATTTATATACGTATTTACCTTTTAGAATTTAAAAGATCAAGAATTTGTTTGATGAATGAGATCTGATTGTAGTCCTTGGAAAAAAAATATATAGCGCTTGAAATTCTTGACATTTAGTTAAACACCATTTGTACTGTGTACAGTATCTGTTCCTCAGTGTTCTGTAGGTTTCAGTATAGCTCCTCTCATTTGTCTGGATGGGTAATATGATATGCTTTCACAAGTGTGCTTTTTGTGTGTTTCCAGAGAAGAAACATTGTCTCTGGAGAAGTGGAACCCACTTATGAGGAGTGTGAGTGGCAGAGTGACCATGATGATGAAGCAGCATTAGCAGTGAGTATCATCTGTCCACTCGCATTGAAATCAGACAGAAGAGCAGCAGTCTAAAGGAAACCTTTCTTTTTCAGGAAGATCTGAAGAAGAAAGCTGCTATAGAGGAAAAGACAGAAGATGCTAATGAGGAGAAGCCCAAAGGAATTCCAGAGTTTTGGCTCACCATATTCCGGAGTGTGGACATGTTGAGCGATATGCTGCAGGTGAACCAGCAGAACATTAGATATTCAACAGAGACCTTGTCCTCCGTAGACTATTCTTTTCTGACTAATGATTATTTAATGTTTTCTTTTGCCCTCTAACCTTGTACAGTACAGACAATATGCAACTTTATATTATTTGAATGTGAATACAGTTATATATTTATTAAAATATTATGAATACAGTTTCATGAAAAGACAGGGCAACGTTCTCCAGCACATTTGAAATGAAAAGAAAACCTGTGCTGTCCATAATGCTCTCTTTCTCAACAGGAGCATGATGAACCAATACTTAAACATCTTCAAGATATTAAAGTGATATTTTCTGGTCCTGATCAGCCCATGGTGAGGACAATATTTGAAGGTTTTATGTTGATTTTAAAGTGAACTGATTTTTTTAAACCGAAGGTCTTGTCGTAACTTGCTGTACTTATAAATGTATTTCATTCTTCCTTTTTTTTTAACACAGACCTTCACATTAGAGTTCCATTTTGACCCCAATAAATACTTTACCAACACAGTTCTCACAAAAGTATACAAGATGAAGTCGGAGCCAGATGCAGAGGATCCGTTTTCATTCGAGGGACCAGAAATCATCGACTGTGAGGGGTGAGCACTTCTCAAACAATACCTGCTCAGATTGTCGGCAGCTTTTCAGACTTTTTCATTATTCATCTCTTCTGTTGGCAGGTGTGAAATTGATTGGCTCAAAGGCAAAGATGTGACGGTAAAAACGATCAAGAAGAAACAGAAGCACAAAGGCAGAGGGACAGCAAGGGTCATCACCAAACAAGTGCCCAATGACTCCTTTTTCAACTTTTTCAACCCTATTAAAGGTACGCAACATGACAGATGTGCATGGGAACTTTTCTGAATGCTGATAACAGGAGAATGAGAACAGTAGGTTGAATTGCACATGGGGAAATCATATTAGTTCTCTCATTTAAGTGTTTTCATACTGTAGGTCTACTCTTTTGCATGAAGTCACCAATATTTTTTTTCTTTTAGTTTCACCAGATAAAGAGTTGGTGAGTATTTTTTTTTTATTCTTTCTTGCTTTAACTCAGTTCTAGCTAGGCAATTAGTTGGCCTGATATCAGTTAAGGTTTTGGGTGTTTCATAGTCAGAAAAATAAGATGTTATCCAGCATTATTTCTTCTGAAAGACATGAGTGGTTAGTAAGTTTAGAGAATCTTTTCAGAGAAGTAGAAATAATC